GGGAAATTTGTTTGCATGTCTGCACCTGCTAGCCTTGCCATGCAGGAATAGGTCATTTCCTTTCCAAACATGACTGGCTTCTGATATCAGTGGGAAATTGGCAGCTCTTACATGAAAACAGTAGATTCCAGTTCCTCTTTTGATTTTCACTGACATAGGAAAGGAGTTGTTATTGTTATGGTCTGAGTGCACTGTCCAAGTTCTCTTCCCCACATAACTGCTTTTTCAGTTATTCAAAACCAATTTGTCAATAGTATACAGCATCATATCTTTTGCTTTGTATGAGATTGTCACGAGATCATTTTTTCCCCAATACCACAGGCTTCATTCTAAACAGAACTGCACAACCTACAGTGAAAATACGTCCTTTTTTTGTCTCTTGGTCTTTCTTCCTCATTTCTGTGAAAGAATAAGAGAGTGAAGAATAAAGTGTCTATCTGATACTGGTGGTAGGGCTTAAAAAACATAGAATTGGAATCATGGAATTGAAGTGTACTTTTTGTCCTATTTCTTTGTCATATCAAAGCATCGATGTCAAGTGTCACTCACAGTGCTTTCAGTTTTCTCAAATGGCAGAAAGCTGTTGCAATGACTTCTTTGTAAGGGGTGTTTAAATCAGCAGATACAGAACCAGTGGTGCTGGACAAGACGTGGGCAATTGCCTCATCTCCAGCCTCAAGTATCACCTTTGAAGAGAGTTGCAAAGGAGTTTTGTTGCTGACAATGAGATGGTGAATTTTGTTGCTACTCTAAACAGCATAAAGCAGCTGCATTGGCTTTACAAGTGATTCAAAGGTTTGCTCTCCGTTAAAGTTGGGGTAAATTTTTTGAGCATCCAATACGTGCCACGTGTCTTTTTCCTCCTGTCAGTTACTGGAGATGGAGACAGAACTGTGGTTTTGTCTGTGTTTTCATGTAGCATTATTAATGAAACAGGTAATCCTATTTTTCTAAAAATCAAGGCAAAGATCTCTTGTGTTCTGTCCATCTGTTCCAGACACCAACAGCATGCTCATCACCATGGTATTGGAACAGCCTGGTACACAAATAGCAATCAGCAGTTATTAACATAATATTGTTACTTGGTCCATAAAGCTAATATTGGCAGAGATACAAGACATCACTCACTGTGAGACAGTTTCTTGGGTGATGTACTTGGTTCTGCCAGAATATGATAATATTCTGTATAAAAATCAGTAAAGGGATGTGGTTTTTTGTTGCTGTTTCATGCAAGCAGTAAAAATTGCCAGTATCATATAAATACATCAAAATTTTGTCTTTACATCCAGTAATTTACAATCCATTGTTATCTAGTTGTAGAGCAGCATTCTTTAGAAAACAAAAGGGCTTTTCTTTTTATATATATTAAATCAAATCAAACCACTGAAAGTTCCCCTTTCCTTCCTTTCTTCCCCAACTGCTGATATAGACTGATACAGAAGTGGCTTTTTGCATGCAGAACACCATTTATCTCAAACTGGACCTAGACAAGTTCAGGTCTATTCAGCAGGTGATCTGTAGTACTGAAGGAGTGGCACATGATTGCAGCCCACCAGGAATCTCCAAGTCTCCCAAAACATCCTGAACACCCACAAAATTTGGATGTTCCTTATTTGTTCTTACTCTCTTTCATACATTTCATTTATACATGTTCAAAAGCCCAACTTCAAATGCTTCCTTTTTGTTTGGTCACTTTTCCCTTTGATATAACGTAAGGACTTTTTCCAGAGTTGAACAGACCCACCTTTAAAATCCCTGGTATTTAAATTTCTGGTTGAAAGGAGTATATTCCTCTGAAGTGGTATATTTGTGCCAATCCAGTTAAATTAATAGCCCATCTATCATTCTTCTTCCCTTCTGTTTTGGTTCGAAAAGAAAGGTGTTTGCTAAGGAAGGCAAGAGTCTCTCTTGAAATGGAAAATGTAAACCACCTCCCTCTGAATTATTATAATTTTTAAATTAAGGCGCTCTTAGGCAAAGATATGGGAATAGGAATAACAGTTCTTTACTAGGAAAATTAAAATAAAAATACAGTAATACAAAAAACCAAAACACTGACAGAATCAGAATACTACCTGACACCCTGTTGGTTAGGGTGCTGGTAGCAGTCTGATTAAATGGTGGCTGCAGTCCTCCTGGAGTGACAGATGTGGTTCTGCTGAAGCAATGATCCTGTAGAAGGGTGCAGTTTTCTTCTGAAGGCCTAGTGGTGGTGTAGATGGGCCTGGGGTTTTTTGGGAATTTAGTGGAAAAAGGTTGCCTTGGTGTGTCAAATTTCAGATTTTTATCTAGGTAGGAACTGCTTGGCTCCTCCCTCTGGGTAGAGCATCTCACAATGGGATGATGTAATTTTATCAGTCATGCAGTGAGACTAAATGGCCTATTAACAGAAGATATCTTTCTGGACAGAGGACGGGTTGTGGAAGAGATAAAGAAAACTGCCCTACCTGGTTTTAATAGCTGGTTTATGAACAGAGGTTATTCTTTCCAGAGTTATGAGGGATGGGTTATGAAAGACATAAAGAACACTGCTCTACTTGGTTTTAATAGGTGATGATAGAATACAAACTTCTGGTTACATCTTGCATTGTAACCTAAGACACCTCCTTAATCAGAATATATTCCTGGGAGACCTATTTTGTAAGCTTGTCTACAGAGACTTCTGTATCACAGCAAGATGGAGCTTTTTCCTCCTGCATCTTCATAGTTGTACTGTTGCAACCATGAAACAAAAGTGAAACCAAGGCATTATGGTTCCTGGGTTTTATACACAATAACTTTTGCTCACTCTAGAAGGCAAACTGCTGCTAAATTAACATTTCTGTAAGCACTATAGTGCCCATACAAGTGCTGCTGTAATGAGAGGGAATATCTTTATCTGAGCTGGTTGTGATGATGTCAGTAGGAATGAGCAGATTGTGTCAGCAATTACTACTCTTTCAGGGAACATGAAATTTAAATTGTTCATGATGTTGGTTCAGTCTCCATTTTTATATCAATAGCTTCTTTTTTTAAAGTTAACTATAATAACTAACTACTATTAATAATTAACTATTAACTATCACAATAAACTAATTAAGAAATGTAAATGGAATCTTAAGGATGTTGTTGCCAAATGGAGCCATCCCTTTGTTTGGAAAGGCCAACGGGATCTTGTTTTAAAAAAGAGGATCATTTTCTGCAGGTCAGCTCTGTCTTGAACACTTTTTGTGTTTAAAATTAATGAAATTAATAAAATTAATAAAAACTAGCTTTTGGCTCAGCTAAGGGAAGGAGTCTAAAGTACTGAGTGATTCTAATACATGTCTAGATGCAATGAAGGGCAGAGGGCAGCATTTTTATCCCTGTTATCACTTTTTAAGCAGTTATTAAGCAAGTGGTGGGTATTAACATCAACTTTGCCTCAAACATTTAATAGATATGACTTACTAGACAATGTGCATGTGCCCCATGATATTTCTTTCAAGGCCTGTCTCTGACTGGATACATGCCAGATTGTCCTTTGGGATATAGCCCAGTGAGAAGGAGAAATGGGGTTGAACTTGGCAAAATGGCAATAAGCATAAAGGTACAGTTGGAACTTTCTTGGAATACTCTCTCCTATCTTATTATCCTAGGCCAGTATCTCAGTTCTCTGCAGCCAAATTCTTCAGAGCAATGTTATGGAGAAGAATGAGTAATTTCTGACTCAGTTTACTAGACTTATCAGGACTGAAAAAGCTACAGCTGGACTAAATGCCGTGTCCGCAGCTTGTTTCATTAGCTCTTTTTGTCAATGACCAGTGACTGCCCACCAAAAGAAAATGAAGATGCATTGCTTCAGCTTTTATAAGAAAGATCTGTGGCAGGTTGTACCCCTGAATAAAAAATGTTTCCAGGGGCTGTTAGCTCTCTCTGCTCCTGTGCCTGCAATGAACATTGCAACAGTAGATGTTATCACTGCAGTCTCTCCTTGTCCTCTTCATTTGAGATAGGATGCATCCTCCTTAGTAATCTTGGAGATTAGTGATTTACAGCATAAAATGTAACGACTAAAATAGGGCAGATGGTTTTTCTGTACAACTCTGAATGACTAGTCAAAGCAGGATTTGGGGATAATGTGTCATAGTTTTGTAGAACTGGGTGCCTTTCAAAATAGCTGCTCAGAGTGGGGTGCTGATTCAACTCACCACGTGTTACATTGGCACACTCTAGAAAAGATCAGACACTGCTTTGAATTAACAAGGAAGGCTGGGATCTCTGATATTGTTAATTATGTGTTGATGGAAAGCATAGTAGCCCATTGTGCTTTCTGAACTAGAGTATTAGAACAAAAAAAAGCAGCGAAAAGTCATCACTGCAGAAGTTGTTACCCTTGTTCCCTTGTGTGCTCTATCTCTTCTATGGGGAGGTCTCATGGATACCAAAGAGGAAAGCAAATGTAGTTGTCCTGATTATTTCCTTTTTCTTCAAATCCCATCACACACAATAATCCTCTGTGTCTTTCTGCCCCACATGATGTTTTAATGCTCTTGATTTAGGTATGATGTTGCTATGTCTTTTGAACCATGCATTTTAGCAGATTTTGTATTTGGACATAAAAGCGTGGATATGGAATTCATATTACACGGGGCAATATAATGCTAGAAGACAGTGAATTTAAGTAGTTAATCTCACGTAGTCAAACTGTCACCCTTTTTAGCAGGGTACAAAAGGAATCTTGTTAATGAATATAGGCAATGCATGCAGCATGTAGGGAATGACTGCATTTAACTATGAATTACTTGAGCTTTGAAAAGCTTTTTTTCTTAGGGTAAAAGAAAGAAATAATTTCAGTACCTTATCTCAAATAATATTATTTGTAAATATTTTTCACAATAGCAAATGGAATGTGAATAGGTAATGGTGAATTTATAGGTCCTGAAATTATATCTGTTCTCTCTCCTTTTGCTTGCTTTCAGGAAGAAAGTGGAGAGCTGCTTCATCAGTGCCAATCCATACCATGGCTGGTGTCATGAAAAAGCTCATATTGATGAATTAGTGCATCTACCCTCCCAGCCATGGAAGAATACCTCATACAAAAAAATCCATAGGTGACTAATAGATGTGGTAAGCAACCTGTGAGACTTGGGAGAAACATTCTGGTGTACCTGGAAATCAACCTAGATCTAAATTACCTGCCATTGTGAATATTTTAGACTTAATTCATGTTTTTCCACCACAATTCTGAACATGTCCTTTATCTGAACAGCTTTGCTTTCTTGTTTGTTTTTTATGTTTGTCAGTCATTACACAGTGCTATTTAGAATCAATTTAGCACCCTTCTGTGTGTTAAGTAGTTGTGGTGAGTGATGATCACAGGATTAGCCTGCTAGTAATTAAATGTTGCTGCCTCTTAGCTTGAAAATGAAACATCTCTATGGAATTTAAGAATTTTTTACTTTATTTAGGTTGGGTGTTTCTAAATAGTATGGGTAGGTTTACCAAGTCAGTGCAGGCACAGTGCAATCATTTAAAAAAATAAATTTAAAAAGCAAAAAGAAGGGGAGGAGTAGAGAGAGAGGAAGAAGAGAAAAAGAAATTGAGAAAGGGAAAGAATTCGTTGATCATTAAAACTTTGAATTGCATGGGAAATTTTCCACACTTTGCTGAATCTTGGGTACAATTTCCTAATTTTGGCTTTGTACAATCCAGATAAAGGTTTCCTGTCTGGACTAATTTTTACTCACAGATGGGTCTTCAAAATTTGCAAGTGTTAAATTGTGTTTGTTGAAACCTAGAGGGGTACCTGTCTCAGTAAAGCAGAGGCTGGGTTCCTTACCATTTGTTGACCCAATTAATGCTTGATTTTCATACTGGCTTTACCACTATTAAGAGTTTTACCGCTCGAATTCACTGATTAATGTTTTAAGCAGAATGAAGCCCTTTTTAATTTTTTTTCAAAATCTGCTACCAAAAATCACATTATTTCACCGTTCAAAGACAGTTCTTTTCTTCTTCAAAGACTTATTAGACTGATCTATCCCATGCTCCTCATAGGAGTGTAGCAGTGTAACCTCATATGATAAAAAAGATGAGCTTCTGTTTGAAATAATAGGGATGATGCCTAATCCTAATTCCTTCTGATGAACAGACATCAGAAGGATTTTAAATCAAGGTTGTCACTGAGAGGCCTGTAAGCTACCCTCACTTTGTTCTGCCTGGCCTATGTTAGGGTGAAGATGAAGGCATTTTAATGTCTTAATCAAAGCAGAGTGTGAGCTTTTTACCTTGAGCTCTTGTTACATTTAAGGATTCATGCTGAATAACAATAATAAAAATGAATCCCATCTGGTTTTCTGTTTACTGTTAGTTTAATTTAGTGTATGACGACTCAAAGTTTAGTCTGCCAGCTGACAAAGGTATGCAGTTATCAACATTACTGATAGGATAAACCAATTATGTAAGCTTATTTTCAAATCTCCCCAAATCCCATAATACTTAACAAAGTAAAACCCTTGAGCTAAAATGTACCTGTTTACAGAAAGGTACAACATCAAATAGAGGTTTCATTCAGAATTTTGGGTAGACTAAGTGGCCTTGTTGGCTGCTTTTTTTTTTAATCTGTTGCAATTTTTAGGCATAAAATATATAAAACTAAAAAGAAAGTATGGACAAGAAAAACACAGTTGTAAGAAAGAATTCAGAGAGTTTTCAGAAAGACTCCTTTGTTTGCAAGGCTGTGGAAGCCTAAGCCCTGAACAATATGTTCTGTGCCTTGAGTGTCTAGCTAGTGCTGCATCTTTGAGCTGTAACAGTATTTCCCAAACCCTGTGTCTAACCATCACCTTGGCAGGACTCCAGATTAATCCTGTGGGGAGAGGAAAGTGCCTGTGGAGCTTGGCAAAAGTTGCTTGTCCTTTCCTCCTGAAGATATGCAATTGTTCCTGGGTAGTGTGGGAGGTGGCTCCTCCTGTCTGCATTTGTAGCCACCATGGAAACAGCTAATTTCAGAAGACGGTCTAATAATGCAATTGCAGACCCAAATGTCATTATAGAGGTCTGAGACTCTCTCTTCTGACACTAAATTGTACATGAATGTGCAAGCAGTGGCCCAAGTCTGCTCATAAATGTCCCAAACCAAGTCTCCCTCGAAGACTCCAAGGGATGAATGGGGTGAGAACAAAATGCCAAGGGCCAAGAAAGACAAAAAGGCACAAAGAGATTCAAAGTTTAGGTCATGGAAAGTGTGAAATAATATTGTCAATGTCAGGCCATGAGACAAGGGAGGCATTCTGTTGTTGAATTGTACGTTGTAGGCCCCTGTAAGCGTGCAATACAGAAAGTATTGATGCTGTGCAAGGCAGGTGTGGATGAGCAAATAGAGGAGGATCATGAGCAAAGAAAAATTGAGAAGAAAGTTTTTGAAAGAGCAAGAGGTCAGAAGAGATCCTGGTGGCACAAAAGCTGATAGGGAAGAAAAGCAGTATGGCAGTAGAATGAAGGCTGAAAGAAAGCACAGCCATTGATTAAATTTCCTGCTTTTCATTATAAATTTATCCTTTTGCCAGTTCTGGATGCTATGCACATGTGTAAGAACATATAAGCTTTGCAGCTTACCAGAGTGAAACTGCCTTCCAGAACTCTGGTATCAAAGGCACCTACAAGACCCAATAAAGCCACCTTCAGTATTAAATCAATGTCAGTGTTCAATAACATCCAGTGCCAGGCAGGGAGATGCCAGCCCAGCTGGGTGAGTATGTGCCAGAGCATTTGGATGGTAATTGGCTGATGAATCAAACTCTTAAGCAAATAGATACCTAGGCAAAGAGCAGAGGGCCAAATTCCAGGGAGCACTGCCCTGCTATCTCCCCTGTCTTGCAAAATCTGTGAGTCAGAGAGAAAAGATAGCCCTGGGCAGTACCTGCAGGGAGTACTCTGACCCCCACTCCAGCAATCCTTGTGTTTCTGGGCCTTTTTCAAGTGTGCTTCCAGGCAGGACTCTGCCCCAATGTCTGTGAGGAGGTGAACCAAGGTCTGCAGCAGGAGCAAATGGTTCATTAGCTGAAAGGAGGCGAGTGTTTCGAGCAGATCAGGAGACAGCACTCTCAAGGCCCAACCACCTGTTACAGAGTTGTGGTCCAGAGTCTGAGCTGCCATTATAAAAACAAACAGGCCAGATCCTCAGCTGGCACAGAGCCACAGAAACTCAGCATATTAACTCAAGCTGTGTCTTCTTTATTGCCTGGGGCACTGAAGGTTATGATTGAAAAGATGGCCAGGATGAAACAGATGAAGTTAAGTGTACTGAATTTACCAGCAGTCTTAAGTAAAAGCCTAAGTTGCTTAATTTATCCTTGGAATCATTTTAGCTGTGAGCTTTTTTTACCTTTCTTGTGGGTGCTGTCATAAATGGCCTGTGGGAACAGTGGAATTGTCATATCTGGATGTTTTCAAGAATATCACTATTGAGATTCAAATAGATGCAGCTGAAGCAGAGGAACTACGTAGATCATCTCTTGGAGTCTCTTCCAACCTACTTTTTTGCATGATTTTAGCAAGTCTGTTCAGTTGCTGTCCTGAGGCAGCAGTATTACCCTGCTTCCTGAGCTTGTGCCCCAGAAACTCCAGCTCCCAAACCCCTCTACTTCCTCCATGGCTACTCATACAGTACAAAATGTGGTTTTGTCAGTTTCACAAAATATTGTGAAATCAAGATCTGAACCGTGGCAACAGTGTGAAGTAAAAGAGAAAGATACCAAAGTTAATAGGTAACCTGCTTATTACAGTGCTTCATGTCCTGCTTAACATAATTTTCTACTTCAGATTTGACTGACGCCCTAAAAACACAAGTATGCTCACAGCAATACTGAAGCCAACTAGGCTTGAAGAAAGGAACCAGAACAAGGTGCTAGATCTCTTCTAGGAGTTTCCCAGAAGAGATGTAGCTCACCGGGATTGGACATCTGCTCCCCGAGCATCCTGCTATCACTTCACATCCAAGTGCTCTTGACTCTCTCCCCTGCCGGTACCTCTTGTCTCCTGCCTGTGATTGGGACCAATGAGAAACGTTAGGCTCCATTCCTCTCACTGTAGGAGGTGAAAGCACAGGCCAGATGTCTAGCCAAAGTGAGAGAGCTGGACATCAGCTGCTTCCTGGTGATTCACAGATCAGTAAATTCCCTTTAGTAATGTGTGATAGTGGACCAGCTCTGTTAAACAGTTCCAGAATACCATTGTCATCTCCATGATTATGTTTTGGACATCTTACTACATCGGAGTATGTGTACATTTGCACTTTCCCTCCCAGGAGTACCATAGGTCCATCAGCGACTTTATTTTCCCTTGCCCTTTACTTTCTAAATCCTAAGAATTAAGAGAAATAATTTGTTGACACCATTTTAGGTGTGCTGCTAAAACATCCAAAATGGTCTAGTTATATTGTCTAAAAAACACCGATAGCTGACAAGTCCTGCAGAGGAATTATGCAGATGGGAGGACTGTGAGCGAGGCAAGAGAGGCACACTGCTATTGATAAGCTAAAATCAGTGTTTGTTCCCCAGCACTCCCAGGATCCAAACAGCCAGTTGCAATGTTGTGTGCTCCTGGTGCCTGACCTTCTCCCGAGGCTGCTGTGCATCTATTAGCCTTTGAGCTTCCCACTCCATGGACCAGACACTGAGAAGGGGGAGGGGAAAGGAAGGGCAGAGAAAGGCAGAGGAGGGCAAATAAATAACTGTATTATTTTTTTTCCTGATTTTACACACAGTCCAGGGAAAAGGACCTAGCAGAGGAGGGCAAATGATTTCTGAGCACTGCTGTGCTAACATGACAGCTTTATGGGGAGGTAGTTCTGGGTCAGGAGCCCAATTCCTCTTACCTTTGGTTGAAGAACTGTTACACAGGGGAATGAAAGACATTTCCAGAGTAAAATTGTGGTAGAGTGCCAGATAGCACCCCTGAAACCTTCCTTTGCCCTGTGACTGTTTTCCTAAAATAATAAGGGCAGAAAAGAAAGGCAGAATGGATCCCATGCAGGTTGCTGCTCTCTGCAAGGAGGTCCCATCCTAGTCCCACTGACAGCTCCTGTGCTCATGCAGCTGTGACATTTCTCCTCCACCATCTGTGCTGTTTTTCCTCCTTCCTTTCCCTTCTTACACCTGACTGCAGCCACTGAAGTTTGCTTTTTCATTCCCTCCCATCCTCTGTCCCCTTGTCCCCTCATTCCCCAGAGTTCCTCTGGCACAGGCCTTTTGTGGCCTGGGAAGGAGAGAGATGGGAGCAGGGGAGGGAAGATCACCTGAGTGGAACCAGGAGCCAGCAGAGTTCAGCCTCAAAAACGTGAGTTAGTGGGTCAGGATGCTACTCCAGAGTGGAAAGGACTGAGGAAGTTGGTTACAGGTGGAGCCAGTCTGTGCTCATGGCTTGAACACTACAGCTCAAGCCGAAGGAAATTCTGCAGCTGATTTTACTAACAGGATAAAATAAACCTCTCTTTTCACGGGCAGAATTCAGCCCTGAAGGTACATGAATAATGTCTCCCCAACTGGCATCTGATACTGCTCCCTGCACTTAGCTCCCGTTAGCAGGGAAACAAGCAAGGCCCCTCTGACCACCCAGTGGTTCGTGGTGTTACAGACGAAGCATGAATAACCCCTGAAGGCAGGAGGAGGGACAGGACAGAATGTGATAGAGGGTTATAAATAATTGCTGCGATCCCAGATAGAAACCAGGCAGGGGTCCTGAGCCTGCTCATCCAGTCAGACGGGTGGGTACACGTGAAGACACTCAGCTGCAGATGGTGACACAACAGCACCAGGTGACACCACAGCAGCAGGTGACCTCAGCCCACCACACGGGAAGCAGAAAGCACTTCCTGCACCTCCTGCAGAGCTGGAGGAGACTCATTTCTTCCCTCTGCCCTTACATTGCAGCTGCTATGGCTGCCATGCTGCCTGGACAGCCACACAGATTAAATACTCTTTTAGACATGGAAGCTGTTATTTCTCTGAAATGAAACAGCTTCCCACACTCTTATTAACCTGTGCCCTACTTCAGAATTAAATCTAATTTGCAATTTCCTAGTTAGCTGGTGTTGGTGTTGGTTTGTCCCTGCGTCTTCTCTGATTTGGCTGGGTACATTTATGCAGCACCATATGTGGCAGAGTCCTATTTATTGTGGCTTGTGAGCATTATTGAGTAAGGAAGTGGGGTGGTTGGAGCTTCTTGTTTCACTGGGGTAGAGAAAAGTTAAAGCACAAATATGAAAAATATCCCTGCAAAACCAACTTTTGTATTCAGCAGAGAATGAATTGCTGTCTGCTAAATGAAGTTTGTCATCTGGGCTATTCCTGCACATCTCATCACCTTCCATGGAGTGCCATGGAAGAGAACTACTGTAACAGAGAGGAGAGCACATTTCAAAGGCTTCACAGGATTTCTGATGGCAAACATCAAACAAAACGGGCATTGTTTCACAGATGCACAGAGTAATAGAGAAAGGGAAGTGGAAACTTCAGCAATGACCCCTACAGAAACAACAGAATGTACAGCAAGTTATGTAGTAGATTCAACTGCAGATTGTGTTACCTAACCAGCAGTGCGAGAGAGCAGAGGAAACCCAAACCCTGTGTAACCAGTGCTCAGTGTTTCCTATTGCAGCCAGCACACTTTATCGACTTTTTGTAAGGAACTGAACATAACTAAAACCTCTAAGATGTGTGCAGCATGAGTGGCGTTTCTTCATTTTATTTTGGGGAGAAAAAAGGACAAGAGCACAATTTCAGTTCCTCTGGGGCTTTAGCTCTTTTCTGATGCTGTCCAAGTGAGAGACACCCATTTCTGTCAGTTATTCCAGTAGTCCCTGGGCATGGAGCACATTTAACATCTAGACGTCTGCAGTAACACCTCCCAGCTTGTAGCCCAAGTCCTGCACACACACCCCTGCTACTGGACATCTCAGTGATCTCACAGTCAATTTGCAGATTGTTTCTTCTGTCCTTTGAGCTGGTTGGAAGATAAACTTTGGTCAGTGTATTATACTATGCCCCTTATAATGAAATATCATCGGATAATATGTATTTAGTGGTGGGATTTAAATTCCCGGGCTGATTACAAGGAGCTGTTAAGACTTGTGAGGTTCAACAGTGCCCCGTGTGCGAGTCTGGAATGATGTGTACTGTTGCAGCACTTGTGCTCTCACTGATGCTGTTGAAAAGGCTTTGCTAGGAATAAACTTGAGAACATCAACAACTGAAGTGTCAGCAATACAATTCGATATTCGGTGAGACTGTTAAAAGTGGTTGACTAGAAAACCAGTCTCCCGTACTGTGAAATCTTCCAGCTTTAACAGGTTGCTTGCTCGGAGATCCCAGGCTTGTGGCAGTCTCTCCATGCCTGCTTCCCAGCCGTCACTAGAGCGTAGAAGTATCTACTGTGCCTAAAGAATGTAGTGAAATGTGATTGATGCTTGTAAAGAGGTTTTGATAAAAGATGCGAAAAAGGACAGTGATGTATTCATGCAGGTGAAGAACACAGGCCTTAGAGGAGCTAAAGATGCCCCGTACTGCTCCAGATGCGCTTCCCACGTTCAGTGCAAAGTCTCATCGCTGCCCGCCGCCGGCGCGGAGGGGAGCGGCTGAACGGGCGCCAGAGCGAGGTCTCCCTTTCCTCGCTGCCTCCCAGCAGCCGCAGGCCTGCCCGCATTCCCAGCGAGCCTTGTCCCGCACCATGTCCCCTCCGGGGCTGCCTCCCCCGGCCCTCCGCAGCCCCGAGCACAGGCCCTGCTAAGGCAATGACAGCCCGACCGGCCGTGGTTCCGGACCCTGCCGGGCCCCGAGCGGGGCTGGCGCTCTCCTTGTCGCCCGCGGGGCGCGGAGCAAAGGGAACCATCGGGAGAAATAACGCCCTGCCCAGGCCGCACCGGGATGGACCGAGGGCTGCTGGCAGAAACGGAGGAAGGGACGGGAGGGGGTACTGAAGTAGCGACGCAGCCCGGGATGGAGCACAGCCCCGCCCCGCTCCGCCTCGCCCGCCGAGGCCCCGCCCCCGCCCCGCCCGCGCGCTCACTCGCCCGAGCTGCCACGTCTGCTCGCTGACGTCACCCCCAGCCGGTGCCTCCAGGCCAATCAGCGGCGCCAGCCGCCGCTCCGAGTCGACGGGGCCGAGGGAAGAAAGGCCAGCTACTGCTCATGCGCCGTCGCTGCCGCCGTGACCGCCGGGAGAGCGAGTCCACAGGAGGGGGCGCGGCCGGGAGGAGGCGGCAGTGCGGACTCGGTTTCCCGTCGCACCCCTCGGCCGCCCCCCTGCCGTGTAAGTGCTGCTCGGCGAGCGGCCGCCCCGTTTCCTGGTCGGGCTCCGGCGGCCATTTTGGGCTGAGGCGCAGCGCGGAGGCCGCGGAGCGGGCGCGGGCGGACGGGCCGAGCCGAGCGCCGGGCGATCGCGGCTCCCTCGGACCAGCGCACCGCGGAGCGCCTGCCTCGGCGGCGGGAGGTGCCGCCGCACCGCTCCCTCACAGCGTGCTCGCCGTCCTCGGGCCGCGGGCCCCACGGACATGTCCAGCATGAACCCCGAATAGTAAGTGCGGGACGGGGCGGCCCCGGGTTCGTGCTGGAGGTGCCGCGGGGCGCGCGGGGGCCGCTCTGGGCCCGAGGACCCGAGTCCCCCCTCTCCCCCCCACCCCCGCGGAGCTGCGCCCCGGCCTGGGCGGTGGCGGGGGAGGAGGGGGAGTGGGCGGCGGGAGGCAGCGCGGCCGCCCGGGGGTGGGTCCCGGCGGGACCGTTGGGGGTTAATGGTCTTCCCGGTGGGAACCGGCATCCAGCACCCCGGCAGCGCCATCGGGCGCAGCCGTGGCAATTTTCCCGAACCCTAGGAATGCACATCGGGGCCTTGACTCCAACAAGTGATCGAGGGGACACCGGCGCCCTGTGAAAGCCAATCCCCCCGGCCGGTGGCGGCTCCGTAACCAGGGGTCCACCCTTCGCTTTTGCTGCAAGTCATGTGTGTGTCACATGGCTCTTGCAAAACACTTCTTGCCTATGTAGATTTTGCAACGCTGTGACTTGATAATAGAGCCATCTTAGGGCTATTTCCAGCTGAAATAGCACTAACTTAGAAAACCTAGTGACGACACAAGGGGGTTTTCGGGAGGTCGTTGTGTCGGTATGGCCTTTTTCTTTAGTTTGCCTGCTCGGGCGTCGGGCTGTGTGAGCTCTCTGCCCGGGGGTTGTCTATATTCTGGAAACTCGGGGAACTGTGTCCTGCCCACCAGGCCGTCGGGAACAATAAACTTTATTTTGTTAATGACTTTCTTGTGTGAGTTAGAGGAGGGATTTAGGCTTAGTTTAGAAAGCAGTTCACAAAATCAGCTACTGTGCTTCCAACCCTTTAGCCTTGTAGGGTGTGTTTAACATCCTTTCACAGATGCTGGTTTTGCTGGCACTCCAGTTTGGGGTGGTGAAGCCACTGCCCCATCTGATGCCACTGGAGTGGTTCTGGTTCTAAAATGCACGTGTGGTGTGACATTGTGCTCTGGATATCCATTGACACTGCTCTTGGAAGACACCCACAATTTTGTCCTCTCAGCTGAGGCTCCTGACTCATGTGGCCATGGCTCCTGTGCTTTCCACTTATGTCAGTGGGGTTGGTTGCAAGCACTCTGAGTCCACTAAAATCACCTGAGGAGCAAACAAGTAGTCATCAGCTAGTGAAGGAGTTGGTGACACCCAAGAGGTACAGCCAGGAACTCGAGTTACATCTTGGCAAGATTACATCACAAACTTCCTCATGTAGCTTTGGAAAACACCAAAACAATAACTGGAGTTGGGCAGTGGATGAAAAACCAAGAAACTTCTGATGCCCCATGGTCCTAAGGGCTCTCAAGAGTTAAACTCAAATTTACCTTGTAGACTGTTGAGTTTGGTAGTGGGAGAACCGCCTGTAGGGTGTTAGGTCACTAAGTGAAATGAGTTGGAGAGGGCTTTTTACGTAGTTGTTTTTTTTTTTTCCCCTTTCTTGCAGTCTGTCAGTCCTCTAGACTGATGCAGAGGGTAGTTCCCTGCAACGAAGTACTGGGTGCTGAGGACAATGTTTTCAGAGAGACTCATTTTCAGTGAAGAGTGCTTGGTCCTGGTGAGCACAGCCGTGTTCTTGAAAGTGAAACAAAGAGGAAAAGCTGTAGTTTTGAGATTAACTTGCAGCGTTAAATTGCCACTTCCTCAGAGGGTGGCAGCAGGATGAGGGGAGGAGATGGGGGAAGGGTGTGGTGAGATGGACAGAAAATACCTCACTGTGATGTGTGTACTTGGATCCCTGTTAAAACAGGAATAAGACTTAAGGGATTATGACATTGCTCCTTCTAGTTCACTGTAAGAGATACGTCTGTTTTTCCTCTCAGAAGTGCCTTACTTTTAATGTAACACATTCTCACTTCCCTATCACAGCTTCAGATTAGGCTGCAGCTGCAAATCCTCTCTCCTGGGCATGCCAAAACTCCGTCAGAAGTCAGTAGGAGAGCTAGTTAAAATCTCTAACAGAAGAATACTTCCTTCAGCTTTCCTGATAAAGCTACAGGGTTAGGTCCTACTCATGCAAAGGCTTGAAGGGGAGTTGTGCTTCTGAAAGCTTCCTTGAAGCTTTAGGGCTCTGGGACAGTTGAATGGACTGTTAGGTTTTCGACTGACTGAAGGAGCTGAAGAGGGGTAGATGAGATAGTAAAATTAGTGTTTGGAAGCTAAATTCTGAAAACACCTGCCCACCCAGCACTGGGATGTCTTCCCTCTGTTCCTCCCTCCCTGCCAGCGTTTGAGTGAGCAAAATGTCAATATTGACTCTGTTGTGACAAGATCATGTCAGGTTCAGCATTTCCTGCGCTTCTGCAACTTGCATGTAGCATAAACATGCTGGTTGGGGTGCATGGTCCATAGCAGCAAAGTGGTGTCAGGAGTTCATCTCGATCAGATCAGTGTTCTGCCTGGATCTTGTTCCGGGTACCTTCCAGCACAGATGAGGAATCTCAATGGGTTTTTTGCATTCTTCAGAAGTGTTTGGGAATACCAGTGAGGTGGGTTTTGGTCTTGGGTAATGGTGGTTAGTAGATGACAATTGCGTGACAGCTCCTGGGTTGCTGGAATCATCTGAAAGTGTTTGTGTTCTAACCTTTCTAAAAAGTAATCTTCCATGCAAAGTGGCATCGTGTCTTCTGGATTCTGTTTACTTACACAAGCAGTGTGTAATCAGAGTGACAGTCATGCTCCTCTTCAAAATTTCTGGGGTGGTAGAACAAAGAGTGAGGATTGAGGCTGCCGTAAGTACCTGTTTACAGTAAACCTGCAGCTGACATCAGTGATTAAAGCCAATTCCAGCAGTTACTTTTTGCAGATGACTACCTAGCCTTGTCTGTTTTGGCATAAACCATTCCTGGCATTTAAAAAATCCCCACATGCCTCCTTATATAAATTAGATAAATAGCAGTATCTTAGAGGCCCACAGGTTCCACAGCTTTGGCTAGATCTGTCCTCAGCTTGATTTCCTGGTTTTCTGCTGAACTCGCTGACATGGGACATGTGTGTATCAAGAGAATGCTGCTCTGCTCAAAGCATCAATCCAGATGTTTTGGAGGTGCCTTTTTTTCCCTCTTTTAGCAAGAGTCAGTTACATTTAACATCTTTGTCCTTTATCTCTCTGCTAAGAGGAAGTTATGGGGAAGATTTGAAAGCCTCGCTCTTACTCACTGTACCCACCTGCCTTGCTGCACATGCTCTTCCAGAGTACTTTTTTTAATGACCCAAGTATGACTGGCTTATGTAAATGGTAAGAAATAATTGAATGATTAACCTGAATTCGCACTGTTTTCCAAAGAGTGTGGAGAAGGCTGTGCTGCATAGCTCAGCCAGCTTTATGAAGGCTCCCTAAACTGGAAGAGCCTGATGAGTTTTAAGTCTCCATGTCTTTATACATGGAGATGTAAATTCTGTGGCTTCAGAAATGTGGCTCTTCAGGAGTAAATACCAAATAACCTGTGTGGCTTGTTGGATTCATTGCTACAGTTGAACTCTTTTACCCAAATAGTCTATTGTTGTAGCTCAGCCTAGAAATAGGTTTCTGCAAATTTTTGTAGCATTTTAAAATTTTATTTGATTTAAACTGGTGCTGTACCCAAGAGCTGTCTCAAGCATCACACTCTAACAAACTCCACATTTGGTTCTTACGGCCCTAAATAAGTACCTGCTATATTTTAAAACGTCTTGTGAGCTGTATCTTTTAAAGCTTTAAGCTGTGCTTGGAGAGGAAGGCACTATAATATTGGAATATGCAGTGTTCTAAAAAATTAAAAACCCTAAGTTCCTAAAGTCTTACTTACATTATTCCCAAACTGATGAAAGTCACCAAAATTGGGTTTTTGTGACACAACACCCATTTCTAACGTCAGAGACAGAGCTAACTCAGTAAAGGCTGGCCCTGGTTTTGGGGGGCTGAGGCAGGTGGCTTAAGACCACTCTGTCTATGGTTGTGGAAATACTGAAGCCTAAAGTGAGGGGACAGCTGAATAGCAAAGATACCAAACCCAGTATTTAAGACTTCTGAGTTCTTGTTGTGTTAGCTTAGCATTTGTTCTGTGTACACATTGTTACTGTTCTTGTTTGCTGCTGAAGAGTAAGAGATTTAATGGGTAGGTTTGGCTGGGAGCTGTTCTTAGTGCGAGGAGTAACAGAGGAAGACAAGTTTTTGCATATTTGGGACCTGGGGGCACCCAAATTACTCTTGGAAGCAAGTAGAGGTTTTTAAGTGGATCTCACAGCTGAAGCCTTACCTCTACCAGGAAGGAGTTACTTTTTTCCCCACTAATTTTAGTGAAGACAATACAGTGCTAATATTTGTGTGTTAATATTCTCAAGGAGATTATTACATGCTGCAAGTAATAATCTGACTACAGGATTGCTGAAAATTCTGTGTTTGTAGGGAACTGAACAACCCAGACTTCCTGCTGGAGTTGGAAGGAGCTGAGTGAAAGGTGAGACACAGTGGTGGGGAAGAAGGCATAGGGGTTAACGGTGGTACTTTACCTTGGTCTCCAGGTTACAGAGTTTCTGCTGCTCTTGGGGGTGAGAAGTTTTCTGGTCTGTAATAGTGCTTCAGCTAACTCGAACCTACTGAGAAGTGTAGGTTGAGGGGTAATGTAACTTATGTCCCCTGAACAGTTTAGATTAATTGTCATTCTCCTAAAGCCATCTTGCCTTGTGGTAGTACATGAACTGACAGGTCGAGTAGTGAATTCTGTGACTGTCAACTGCTCTGTATCCTCTGACTTTTTTTTTTATGCCTTTAGTGGTTTTAGCTGAACACTCTTAAGAAAGGTTGCGTTTTTAAGGATTGAGGTACTAGTTGCTATATTTAGCACTTCTGACTCCTCTCTAAGCCTGGCAGAAGTGCTGCAGAGACTGGAGGTTTCAGCTGGGTGTGTTTTGCAGCTTAGGCCCAGCCAGGTGAGAGGCACTTGGGCACTCAAACAGAGGAGTGGTGAGAAGCCGTGGTTGGCCGTCTGCTTGGCTGTTATCAGCTCGGGATGGATGCAGTTTCCTGTCTGGATTCCTGCCAGCCAGAGGCAGTGGCGATTCTAGGGAAGAATAGGTGGGGACAATTGACTCCAGGCACTTCACATATCCTTAATCTTTACTCACCTTGCTTAAGTGGGCATAAAAATATGGCTATTGAACTGTTATGGTTAAGTCAGAATAGGACTTAGTTCTTAGTTTGGCCATTACAAGGCCAAAGAATTTGTGAACTGAGAATGAGTTAGTGTAGCACTTGAGAAACAAAATAACTTGTGTAAGTGGTGGGTTGTTGTTTTTCTCTGTTACTTGTTCTCTAGCATGAAATTTCCCCATTAGTTTTAGGACTAACACATAAGCCTCATATTTTGCTAACAGTGAAATCTTCACTACTCTTTGAAGTGTAAATATAGGCTGGTCGGTGACACCATGCTCGTTCTTTAATGTTGGGAAGGCTCAACATTAAGCACAAGATTTGTCAATTCTTGCAGTGTATCTTGAGAATTACTAATACCACACCTGATATCCCGCAGAGATGTATCCTCATCTAGAAATCACTTGAGCTTTGCTTTAATTCCTTGGAGGCATGTGTGGTATTGGTCACTGCTCATAGTCTGTGGTGCAAGGTGGGTATTCAGTTGTGCTGTTGCATTCTGCTGGAACTGAAATATGAGTAACTTGAACTGAGGAAAGAAATGGCTGGATTTGGCAGCTCCCTGGTGTTGATGAAGTGGGGCAGTGGAATCAAACCTCTGAGTCCAGAGAAGCAAAGATAATGACCCCGGAGGGCAGCAGGCTGTTACCACCACCTGTGTGTTATTTGAGTTACTCAACTAAACAAGGGGGCTTGCACTCAATTGCAAAGCACGATTTTCATCTTAGCTAGACTACAAAGGGCTGAGGTAGGTAGAACTGTGCTACTCCTGCTGATAGTCCCACTATTATCCTCAGAGTAATTTCGCAGGAAGGCACAGTTCCACACAACAATGCTGTGTTCAGAGCATCTACCTCGCACTTCCCTTACCAAGTAAATTGTGAATTTCTAAACTGAATAGAGAAGCTTGGAGTTGTAGGTGATTACCCTAGCAGTGAATTAATTTACCCTTCTCAAAAGTCATAATATACTGGCTATAAGGAGCTTCATTGTTGACAGTGTTTTTCATTAAGTGACCTAATTTTTTTTCCTTCTGCAGTGACTATTTATTCAAGCTACTTCTGATTGGAGACTCCGGTGTTGGGAAATCTTGCCTTCTACTTAGGTTTGCAGTAAGTGATCATGCTTGGCAGCTATGTAAAAGAGGTACTTAGCAAGAACTTCCCTTCAGGTAGCAGGGCTGATGTCTGACAGGCCTGGTAATACCAAAGAATAAGTATAGTATTGCAAACTCCTCCTGTCTTCTGAAATTTGTCTATCTGATGTAATTGTTTGACTAAATTGGAAAGAAATAATATCAATAATATGTCCAGCTAAGATTAATTCTAATTTTCCTGTTACTTGAGAACAAGATACCTTAATTTAACTTCCATCATTACAGTAGTGGTAGAATGCTGAGGATGGAAGGAATTCTGGTGGTGTCCCCTTAGGCATGAGAAGTACAGACCTTGATCAGTTACTACTTGATAAGAACATTTCAGCCACATGAAGTTTGATATCTGCAGTAAAAAGACCTATCAGTTGTTTAGTCAGAGAAGTAATGTAAATAATATTCTAGGAATAATAAGGCCTTCTGCTTTTTTTAGTCAATGTTAAAATTGCTGGTGAGCTGTTCGGGCTCTAGTTTTCCTGTCAACAAGAAAATGTAAAATGGGTTTGACAGCTCTTAGTAGAAAAAGCTGAAGTCCAGTGAACTTCTTATCTCTGTTAATGCCAAAGTGCAGCTTTACGTTGCCATGGGAGGAGAGGAAGGGAAGCAGGATATGGGACATGAACTTAGAAACTTAAGTGTGACACTACTGCAAGATGATGGCTTTGTTTTTGCAACCTGAGCAATTCCTCTGGGCACCTCTGGAACGAGCCTGTTGTACCTGATCCTATTAATATGAAATGGTGATCTGGGTGTACAGACAGCCTCAGTTAAAGCCATTATGGCTGCTGTTGGTACTAGGACAAACAGGAGGATGTCACCTGCTCTGCTCACAGTATGGAGGCAGTGGGTTGGAAGTGATGCTCAGCTGGAGCAGCCCTCCTAGAGCAGTCTAGCCTGCTTCTCTTGCAGATATTTTTGACTTCATGTGAATAATCCAACTCCTCTTTTTTGATAGCCAGCTTAAGTTTGTGCTCTGTTATCGGATGTTCCTTCAACTGAGTAGCCTTTTTCCTTTCGAGATGTGTTTTTCCAACTAAGCTGTTTTACCCTGACATAAGGAATTACCACAGCATACCACACCTGTGTTTTCTTGCTGCTGTAGTTTAAATTTCTTCATGCTTTTTAAACATACCCTTTGGAGTACTGAAATGTTAAGGAAATAAATGTCATGTCATTCTGAAAGGCTTAATACTTTATTCTTACTTAGATGTATTACCTGAGATGTCTTCCATTCACAGCCCAGAGGAATCCTTTGCTTTTATGATACGTACTGGTTGCATAAAGCCTTTTGTGGTACATTGTACGTGAAGTTCTATCCTTTGGGTACTTTACGAATAGAAACTTCCTTCATGCTGACAAGCTGACAATCACTAGAAGGTAGCAAAGACTGACCCAGCAGTTTCTGTGTGCCTTAAGGCTGTTGGAGACTGCAGTTAGGTTCCTGCAAGCTGCTGAAGCAGTATTTTTCCTCCTGTATCAACACAGGCTGCAGAGCAGAGGCCTCAGCACAAGTACTCCAGCTGTAACTCTAACCTGCCTTAGCAACCAGCTGGAGCAGCAGAGGATCTGACACTCATGTGTGACTGAGACAGAGCCTCTGACTTGTTCTGGGTACCTTCTGTGTAACACAGATGAAAAACCATCAAAGGAAAATAAAAATGTCACGTGCTTCAATAACCTTAGTGGTTATTCTAAGTACCTCTTCAGTCTCCCAACACGAGGAAAGACCATTTCTTACACTGCAGCTCACAAGGACTTGACACTACAGGATTTCCCGAAAAGAGGCTTTTTTCTGATGGGTTTTTGAAACACAAGTCTGGTTGGTGCTTTTAAAAGCTGCAGAATTTTTGAAAAGTAAATACTTGGTGGAAATGTTTGGCCACCTCCTGGACTTTGCCATGAGAGATCAGGCTGGTTTTACAAGGAAAATAAGTACCTTTGTCTGACTGGTGCATAATGAAGTAGGTGACTGCAGAAGAGGCGCAGCTGGCTTGACTTATGTTCACTCTCTCTCCTAGGATGACACGTACACAGAAAGTTACATCAGCACGATTGGTGTGGACTTCAAAATCAGAACTATAGAACTAGATGGGAAAACAATCAAGCTTCAGATAGTAAGTAGTATTTCTCAACTCCTGTGTGCTTCAGTCTGTTGGATCACATAGTTATATCCATAGCTATTGGTGGTTATCTTTGTACTTTAAAATATATTCAAATTCAAGGGGTATTTTCCCTGTTACAAGAGGCGAGGCAGTTCTCGCAAGATTTCCTATGACCTGTCATTAAAGAAGGGTGCTTATTATCAAGGCTATTTGCCTGGAAGAGGAGATCCTGTGTGCTCTTGTATCAAAACTGGTGTAGTTCTGCAGTACTTAGCCAGGATTTAAGTGCAGGAATACCACACAGTTGTCCAAGATGCCCAAATTCCACAGCAGCTGTTACTACCAGGCTGTACTGTCTTAAGTGCTGGAAACTGCTTTTGCTGACCTGAATGGAAAAACTGACACACAGGCTTGTAACTAACTGGCCTGGCTACCTTAGCACTTGCCAGTGTATTCTGGCTATGCTTTTGGCCTTTCACTTGGAATAAACAGGGGGAGAGACTTGGCAATTCTTTAATCTTGAAGCACACTAAAAGGGTGACTGGTGTGATGAAATCTAATATCTGTGCAAGGTCAGACACTCCTTGTCAGCTACTGCTTCCAGCTCAAGCAGACTCTCAGAACTTGAAGGCAATGACTCAGGGATTCAGTGTTGCGGAGCAGTCCAGCTTACAGCCAGAAGCCTGAGCCTCCAGACTCTTAATGTAACTGTCCTGAGTACAGAGTAGTCCACTAGGAATGCTGTCACTGCTCAAATCTGTCTGAGTCTGTTTTTAATACACAGCCAGCCCTCTTCTTGACACAGCTCCAGGGAGAGAAATATTCAGGCGAGTTCTGTTCCCGTCCTGGGTGGGAGAAGAGGTCAAACACCTTATGTCCTTTCTTAACTCTCCCAGCAGGACAAGGGAACCAAGTTTGTTACCCTGAAATACCTTTGCTGAAGCCTGTGTGCCAAGGAAGTTGGAGGGAGTGGTCATGTTAGAGACCTGCAGCTCTCTGACCTTATTCCTAGCAGGTTTTCAAGTCCTGGGTTGTGTTTGCTCTTTTGACCACTGAACTGTGGCTTCTTCATGGGTCAGAACTGCTTAATGTTTCTCCCAGAGACATCTCTTGACTATGCCTGGCTGAAACCAAAGAAATGAGAACTTACAAAAAGTACCTACAAAGTGCTATTCTCAGTTAAAATATGTGATCTCCTTGAATCGTGTTTCATGTATGCAGCTTCAGAGCCACTGCTGTAGCTGTGACGTGGATGTGGTTGTAGTTGGATGGCTGCTCTGCTGAGCTGTGTTTCTGGAAGCTAATGTAGAGCACTGGCTCAGCCACGCTGCAGGAGCTGACACTGTCACTTGTTTTGCAGTGGGACACGGCAGGACAGGAGCGGTTTCGGACTATCACTTCCAGTTACTATAGAGGAGCTCATGGCATCATAGTTGTGTATGATGTTACAGATCAGGTACGTGCTAAACCTGTGCCTGCACAGTTTCTCCAGGCTGATGAGTAAATGGGGAATTTAACAGCTGGGCACATCTTAAGGAGACAGTGACAGTTCTAAAGGCTGTGTTAAGGCTTATCAAGCTACATGTATATGTTTGCCTCTGGTTTGGCAGAAGTAAGACATAGAAATAAATAGAGCAGTGGGATTTTTGGCTCCTAAGCCTAAGATACAATTGCTTAACCTAAAACTTAGTGAGCAGGTAACTGATTTTTCTGTGTGAATACATCTCATCATGCCTTTGGTAGTAGGAAGTTGGAGTTACTGATGAAAGTTGTTGAAAGATTTCTGAATGTACTTGAACTCTGGTCTACAGTAAAGACCAGCATTTGGAATAGAAAACTGTCAGCCTGTGTGCGGGATACAACTGAGCCAGTGTTTTCTCTGAAAGGATCTCTGAAGAACTGGTGCAGTTGTTTGAAGGGCACTTGGGAAGTATAGAGTTTCCTGAATTAATAGAAAAAGAACACTTGTGTTCAGTCACTAACTGGAATATCAGTCCAGCATTTCTGGAGTCAGAGGTTGTTCCAGCGTATCTACAACAAGGTGGCTTGCACCTAATACCTGATGCTTTTTAAATATGTGGGATTCATCTGGTTTCAGCTGTGTGCCATGTCTCTTATCTCTGCTACAAGAGGAGGAGGAAGAGTCCCAGATGGTAAATGTTGAATATTCAATATATGGAGCAGGGAAAAATAATAGGGGGAGGAGTGCAGGAAGGGCTGATTGTGTAGGACTGGGAACAGGAGCTGTATGGCCCCTGTGGTGACCAGCCTGTCCCGAGGCCATAGGGGAGCTAGGCAGCATTAGAGAGTCCTGTCCCATGGTTGTGAATCACATGGATAAGTGCAGTGCTTCATATTCTTTCCTGGCCATGGCCAAAGGGATAGTGCTGAACTTTCCTCTTTATCTAGGGCCTTGCTTACAATTCTCTTCTCTCATAGGAGTCTTTCAATAATGTCAAGCAGTGGCTGCAGGAGATAGACCGTTATGCCAGTGAAAACGTCAACAAGTTGTTGGTGGGGAACAAGTGTGATCTGACCACAAAGAAAGTAGTAGACTATACAACAGCAAAGGTATGTTGGGGCTCCAGTGCTTGCTTGGCTGAGTCCAGGTTCTGGTTTGTCATGCACAGAAATTCCAGTGCAGGGATGTCCTTGTACCACAGATGGGGGCAGTTTAATGACCCCCTGCCCTGCAAGTCATCATCAAACTGGAGATGGGGTGTGGGGTGGGATCCAGGAACTTGCAGGTTATCCAGTGGTGCTCCAGGAAATAAGGTGAGGTATGAACCTGTGTATGAGCTTACTGTTCACCGTTTCTCAATTTGCAGGAATTTGCAGATTCTCTTGGAATTCCGTTTTTGGAAACCAGTGCAAAGAATGCCACAAATGTAGAACAGTCTTTCATGACCATGGCTGCCGAGATTAAAAAACGAATGGGTCCGGGAGCGACAGCTGGTGGTGCAGAGAAATCCAATGTTAAAATTCAGAGCACTCCAGTCAAGCAGTCTAGTGGAGGTTGCTGCTAAAACTTGCCTCTCCCCCCTTTTGTCTCACAACAATGAATTTGCAATCTGAACCCAAGTGAAAAAAAAAATTGCCTGAATTGTACTGTATGTAGCTGCACTACAACAGATTCTTACCGTCTCCACAAAGGTCAGAGATTGTAAATGGTCAATACTGACTTTTTTTATTCCCTTGACTCAAGACAGCTAACTTCATTTTCAGAACTGTTTTAAACCTTTGTGTGCTGGTTTATAAACGTGTAATCCTTGTTGCTTTTCCTGATACCAGACTGTTTCCTGTGGTTGGTTAGGATGTATTTTTGTTTTGATGTTTCTATTGGCATGTTTAGATGTCAGGTTTAGTCTTCTGAAGATGAAGTTTAGCCATTTTGTATCAAACAGCACAACAGTGTCTGTCACTTTCCATGCATAAAATTTAGTAAGATACATGTAAGATCTGATTTGCTAGTTCCTTCTTGTAGAATTATAAATTGAGAGATCACACTATCTGATTAATAGTTTCTTCATACTCTGCATATAATTTGTGGCTGCAGAATATTGTAATTTGTTGCACAATATGTAACAAAACTGAAGAAATGTTTAATAAATATTGTACTTATTGGAAGTAATATCAAAACTGTATGGTGATAAATATTGTCTTAATTTGTATGGCTAAGGGGGAAATCAGGCTTGCATTGTGCACAAAACAACCTATCTGTGTGTGCAGCCATGGCTCTCAGACCTTCCCTGCAACTTGCCCAGTGACTGTGGCCCAAAGCCTGAGCTGTCATGGTGCTTAAAAGGCATGAGTGCTGTACCAGAAACACCCGGCCAAGGTTTAGGAGGCATAATGCACTCTGAATGTACAACAGTTCCCTAACTTAGTCTTGGAACTTTAATTTATTTCTCAAGGACTCTATATAGGGAATTCCTGTCAGCTTTGCATAGCAGGGGAGAGAACAGTATTTCCCTAACATGAACGATTTCAGCAAAACCTTGAGGAGGTATAACTTTCTACCAGTATATTATGTCTTTTCTATATACTGCTAATTCCATCCTCTTTTAATCAATATCTTCTGACTTAGTGCAACAGCTTAGCTTCTATTCCCTTCTGCAGCAAGGCACCAGGAGGGTGACATGGGGAGAGCAAGGCCCCCACTAAACTGTTGCTCAAAGTAGGCTCTTTTTCAAACAATTTGGAACTAACCAGCAGCCAAGAGGTTTTGGATAGTGTGTGATTCTTTGTACAGAGCTAATCAAATCATTAGTGCCTGATGTCTAGCTAAAAGCCACAGGAAAGCTAGCCTATAACACTTCCTATACATGTAAAATTGTTCAGCTCTATCTAAACTCAAATGTTCAGCCTATTCTGTAAATAGTCTCATGTTTGAAAGACCATGTAACATTCCCCTAGTAGTAAATATACCCTGTGATAGTAAAAATATAGCCTAGGTATGTTGTGAGGTATAAACTAAAACTGGTGCAAATATCCTCTGATTTTTTTTGGGGGGGTGACTTTGGCTAACAGCTTTCTTCAACATAGTTGCATAAATCAACAGGCAATTGTAATACATAAAGTATTGTCATGGTTAAGTTGAACTCTTCCACTTGAGACCTTCACAATAAAGTGATGTGCTTTCTAGTAGAGATGTGCTTGTTGGTATAATTCATTATAAATGTGATCTGCTGCTCCTCAGGAGCAGGAGGAGCAGTGAGTGCTGCTGAGATCAGGAACTAAAGCAGAAGGAGGTGTGTTGAGGGTAAAACATTTTCCCTGCAGAGAGTGCACAAATGAACTTCAATGTCAAGATGCCTGCTACATACTATCCAAACCAATGTTAATATATACAGTAATAAAAGCATTGCAAAACCAGTTGGGCTACACCAGGTGTTTGGTGGTTCTTTGTTTCCCCCTCAGTCACAAATCGGTCACTGGGCTGGTGCTGTTCCGTGCTGAAGCCTGGGGTTGTCAGGCTGAGCTGACAAGGGTAGAGCAGGCCTAAAACTCCTGGCACTGAGTAAAGGCACTGTCGTTTCTTACCTGTGAGCTGAAATACTGAATACTTTTGACACAATGGGCCAAATATACTTGCCCTTCAAGCTGAGGATGTAGAAGATGGGAGAATATCAACCCCCGTCACAAACCCAGTGAATTATTTGTTGTAACTGCTTCAGTTTAATTTTGCTTTCACCTTCTACTTGTGCAGAACAGAAACTTCTCTGTGTTCTGTTCACAGGAATGGGAGGAAATTATGTATTCTGCACAAGAACATGACAATTAAAGCCAAGTACCAACATTCTGTAACTTTTTTTGGCCACTTACCTTATGCTGCTTCAGAGCTGCCCTTTTTCTGTTGGAGAAAGGGTTTGGAAACCGTTGAATGTTCTGAGCAGTGATTTAACTTCAGTAGCTGGAAGGGGAAAGGCACAACTCTTCACCCCGGGAAACCAGCACAGCACTAACACAGCTCCTGCCACCAGCAGCTTACAGAACCTGGCTCGTCCCTGCCTGAACTTGCTTGTTTATTATTTTAGATTCAGTATTATGGTTTTTTGTCTTTATGAATAACAAAATGGAAAGTTAAATAGGCTCAGTTTCAGCAGGGAGTGGTAATTATAAACAGGCCTTCAGTTTGCTCCCAAGAATCAGAAGGAGTTGCTATTTCTTGGCTTCTCACACCTATTTTTGACGAGCATAAACAAACCATGAGAACAGGGCTATTAAAATCACACGACTTTACTTAGCAAGCTCACAGCACACTATGGATTGCTCAGTTAAAAAACTCTGTTCCTGACGTTTTGCTAACACAGAACAGCCCACTTCAATAAAAAAAAAGGGACGCTATGTTTAAAAACCCGAAAAGGCCGTTCCTTACACAACTCTGGACATCCCAGCACATCTGCTGTAGGGGGCACCTTTCTCAAGCCATGGCACAAATCCATGCTGCAATCAGCCCCTTGGGCAACTGGACACAGACTTTGGCATCTCTGGAGAGATGATGGAGGTGATTTGGTGCTTGCTGCCATTCTTAGCCTTCTTGAGATGGGCTAATGCAGCTTAGGTCTGACAGATGCAGCACCTGAAATAAAAAGAGGTGTTAGGTGCTGTGCTTTATCTGTAGTCTGACAAAGAAAGAAACCCCCATGCTCTACTCCCTCCTCTCACCAGTGTAGAGGCTACGGCTGGATAGAGGCAGCAATTCAAAAACCACAACAAACCAAACACTACGTAGGACACTGTTTTTCCTCTTCTAAGAGGTTGGCACCTCTTAAACACTTGCCTTCAGTTTTCTTTGAAGGAAGACAAGAAATAAACAAGTTTTCTAGCCCCTATATTATATCTGAAATCACTTGCTTCTCTCCCACCATTATACAGCAACCAGAATGTTTCTGAGAAAATACAAAACCAAAAAATACCCATTCTTCATCTCCTCAGTGCTGTGCAAGAGATCTGGGGAGAGCAGGTGTCTGTGCTGGACTGCTGCCGTTGCCCAGCCCTGAGTGACAGGGACCTGCCATCGATCCCCTTGTGCTCTTGGGTTTCATCAGCTGGTTCACCCGCACTGTTCTTTCCCTGACATGGTTAAACACGACAGGGCATCTATTTTGAGTCTCCCTCCTGCCTTCTCAGGCTTTCCAAACAGAATCAGAGAAATAACAATGGAGCCTGATGTTCAGTGTTTGCTAATTCGAGTGTTCCTCTTCCTATGTTTCCCCCTGCTCTTTGCCTGCTGCAGCAAGGCTGGCTTGCCCCTGCTTACCCAGGGAGCAGCCGTTTGCCGCACCCCCCTTGTCGTGCCCCGCGTCCTTGCCCCGTACGGGGCCCACAGCAGCCAGGATGGACTTGTACAGGTGCTCCGCATGGCTTTCGAGCTCTTCCGACTGCTTGGCAATCAGACCCAGCGTGTCTTTCAGAGCTGGAAAGCAAAAATGTCTGAATGGAGGTGACAGGAATGTGATAATTGTCTCAGAGCTGAGAGTTCTGGTCATCCAGGCAGACTTTGGAAGGTAATCAAGTGTTAAAAATCAATAATGTGCTGTTCATCCCATCACCACTGTGATGCAGCATTTGCAGGGGGTGGGGACTGATCCAGGAGGCTTCAGGTTCATCACGAAGATGGAGAAATAGGAAGTCTTAAAGAAAACCTTCAGAATTCTATAAGAAAGCCCATCCATAATGCAGCACTCGACCTTTAAAGCCCCTTTGGTGCCTGCAGTTACAGCCCACCCTTTAGAAATCCCTTCTTCTGAGTCACCAGAGCAACCACTCCTTGTGTGCTGTGGTGATGGCCAGGCTGCGCCAGGGATTTTGGGGGCCAGATGCCATGGCCAGCATCACCTGTGTCCTCCTCCTCACCTGGTGAATTCGATGACATGCAGTCCAGGAGAGCTTCCCCCCTCTCCAGCACGCTCTCAGTCAAGCTCCGGTGGTTGGCCACATCCTTCCTGAACTCCTGGCAAGTCAAGGAGAAGAGCAGCGTTTCTTAGAAGGGTTTTTGAAACACATACCTGTGGAGGGTTGCCCAGGGAGCAGTTTCCTCCAAGCAGGTTCCTGGTGCTCCCAAATTTGGCTTTGCAAACCCAATGCACCCTGGACCATTCCTGTGACGCCTGGCTTCCCAATGCTTGTTGCCTGCAGCACAGGAGAAGGGAGGAAGCAGAGCAAGGGTGATACCCACCAGGTAGCGGTGCAGCGACGCCAACACGCTTTCAGCATCCGGCGAGGGTGGCACCCAGCTGCTGGTGACATCCACCACAGTGTACAGCCAATGGATCAGCTCCTCCAGCTGGCAGCAAAACATCTGCTCAATAAAGCATAAAAAGGTGTCACGGATCTACTTCTGCAACAGAGACAGCAAAGGGACATGAAAAAGTAAGGGAGTGGTGTTTTGGAAAGCACCTGCTCCCTGTTCCTCTCCGACCCCAGCAAACATCCCTAAACTTGGGAAACCAAGAATTAACTTAAGCTCCTGAACACTTCCAACACCCACTGTGTGGCAAGAATTGAGGGTCACCATGAAATGTCTGCATGGAGAGATGCTGGAGGCTGGTAGCACCCAGGCTGAAGGAAGAGGTTGGCCTCCACCACCTCCCAGCCCAAGAAATATCCTCATCCACCTCCACCTCACCAGAGCCATACAGTTAATTTTCAGTTGCACTTCCCCAAGGGATTGTCTTGTTCAATTAAATGTTTTCATTTATTTTAAAAGTGTCTCGGTAAGGGATTATTTTTGCAAGATGCTGCATGAAACCCAGGGGCCTCTGCTGGCACTAAAACCAGGCTCAAGACCTGCTCCTCAGGAGTTTGCCACAAAGCAGTGCTTTTCTCTGGGACTGCAATTTGGCATGACAAATACAGAGAAGATCCTTTTAAATCAACAGAGTTATTTCCATACCAGAGGAGGGGATGAGTTTGCAGCTATGTGCATAATAACGCTCTTGTGCAAACAGTCTGGCATCATTTTCAAATTCATCCCAGCACTGGGGTGGGAAGAAGATGGAGAGGAGGGTGAGAGCACAGTGCTGGGACAAATTTAATAATCCACAAAATAATCAGGAAACCCTTCAAGGTTGCTGCAGCTCCTGCCTCCTGCCTGGTGCAGCAGAGCTGCAGGACAGGTAGGCTGGGGGACCCAGCTGAGTGCCACATCTCCACCCAGCCTGGCCTGTGACACTGAGCCCCAGGGGAAAGCAAGATGGGCTCTTGCTCCATCAGAAGGAATTATCTGCTCTGGTGAGACCCCCTGCATAAATTACCACCAGCTGCCAGGCAGGACACATAATGCAGAAGGGAAAGCTTTAATTAATCGTGCCATAAAGACAGGCACATTTTATGCAAGATCTTCCCAGAATAAACGTTATTTCTGGTCTCAGCCTACCTTAACACACTGGATAAGGGACTCGCTCCCCTGGCTCTTGTTTGGACGCCCCTTGACCCGTGGTTCATTTAGGCACATCCCATCCAATGTGTCCCTGAGACCAGCTGGTAGATGAAGCCCCTGGGGAGGATCCCTATGGATCCAGCCGTACGATTCTGTGTTTTCCCAGCCGGGTTTTTGGGAGCTGCGGTGTTGCCACAGCCCAGAACAATCCTCGATATTCCCCCTGTCATCCCTGCCTCTCACTTCTCCAAAAGGAGCCATCCTGGATGAAAGGGGCTGCTTGCTGGTGCTGTGATGTGGAAGGTTATGGTGGTCATGCCCAGGCATCCTTATAGTTAAGGAGAGATTGGACAAAAACTGAGCCAACTGTTCCAGCTCCTGCAGTCTTGGAGGCAGGGAAAGAAATTCTTCATCACCCTCCCACTCCTTCCTCAGGGGGAGCACGCCTGTGGTGGGTAAAAACCTACTGGTGCTTTTCACCTGCCCTGTGTAGTTTGGGCAGGGGCTTCCTCTGGTATCCCAGCTTCTCCCATTGGCAGCGGGGTGCCCAGGTGAGCTTGGCCCAGATGATTCCATCCTTACATCCTTAGCAAAACCTCTGGAAGGATGAGAGGAAGCACTCCTTGCAAATGATGCTTTGGCAATACGTAAGGTTTCATAGGAAGAGCCACCTCCTGAACAGCCTCTTTTTCCAGGCCTTGGGGTGGAGAATCTCTCTGCAGAGGTCACAAACCCCCAAAGTCCGTTTTCTCTGCTTCCCCGAGC